AGGTCTCTACACGAGGACAGATGGAACTTTTCACAACATTAATACCACATCGAAATCAACGCCGTAAAGGTCTGTTTGATGGTGTAAATGCATCACATATGAAGCCACAAGTCTCACGAATGTAACAAGAGTTTGAAAAATCAAACATTTGGAGCTTTTGTTCACATGACTCTGTATCCACTCTGGATTTGGATGGATGTTCAGAACTGTTACACTTTTCTGAGACTATCAAAAATGCACATTCGTATTTGGTGCTACAACATCTAATCAGACATTACTGATGCTGACCATGTGTTGTTGCATGTTACCCCTGTTGCATTGTCATGTGGTGTAATGGTGACAAATACAGGACCGTCTGGCATCGCAGTCAAGGAAAGAAGGGAAGGAGAAATAATAAAAATGGTCCATGGCCTGATATTACACATTTTTTCAATCCCATTTTAATGAATTTCAATGGGACATTTCTTCCTGTGACAGAAGTATGTCCTCTCGGATATTTTTGTTCACTATGTCAAGGAGAATCTGTGAACAACATTTTTCACAAGTCTGCCCCCAATTTGTCTGCTATAAATGTTTTAAACTGAAACATTCAGGGGGCGCTAATGAGCCTGTGACGGCTTCGCTCATAATTCTGCATGTTTGCTGTTTTGACTCCAGTCCAAATTATTATTAGCTGCCACTTTTAGAACTTACTGGGTTTTATTTAGTGATACCAGACACAAAGTTATGAAGACCAAAAATGTACATGAGCAATTACACTTCCAAAACTGCTTTGCGAGTTTCAGTGTTAATCCTCTTATCGAGACGTCCCTCAGCTCCTGACTAAAACAAATCCATGATCAAAATGATGAACACGTTTGCCTCTTGTTTCATCCCTTCATACAAAAATAATTATAACAGTTTATAGAATGAATAATAATAAAGATCATTATAATTGAAAGCACATGTGTATTTGTGTGTACAAAAGTGAAGTGGTGCACGTGTGATTTAAACATCTGCACAGTGTCCCGCACAGAGCGCAGCAGCACTTGAGAAACACACACACTCCAGACCGTCGAGGCTCTTCTCAGACTTGAAGAGGCCGTTATGTGATTCATAAACCCAGATCTCATAAACTACTGTTGCGCTCCGACTCCCACTCCATCTCTGCTTTGGCCTCTACAACTTTAAACAGGCTTTTCCAGAATAAAACATGAAAAAAGACTCAAGGGCTCTTTCTTATCAGTACGCAAAACATGAAATGTTTTCTAATAAGATAAGTGTTTTTAATCACGGTAATATTTATTTTATGAATGGACATTGCGAATTAGACTTGGTTATAAATGTTAATTGTGTGCGCTTGTCAATAAATGAAATAAATGAATAAAATAAAATAAATACTGTTGGGGCAGTATTTTGTCCACATATAGGCTTAACTGGAAGATAAACCACAGGTTTACATGTGGTAATGAAGCAGAACCAAGCCCCAGTGATGCAAGATGGCGCCCTGTTCATATCAATGACTTGTGCAGGAGCCAAAGGAGTGGAGGTTATTGCATTAAAGTGTAGATTTAAAGAAAACCGAAGGATTTAAAACAAAACAAAATTCAGAATGACAAGGGACACTAAAATATTTACAAAATCTGACCTTTATGAAAGCTGCAGGTTCTCTCTCAGCTGAGGTGAGCTGTTTTGGTTTACATTGAGTTCTATGGGACATTTAGCTGGGTACGGCTATAAGCTAGTAATACCCTATTATAATAGATACATGAGCAGCACTGGTCAAAACCAATGGGGGCTGGTCTCGGCTCCAAAAGGTCCATTAACATGTGTGTTGACATGCTTGCAACACCACTCCGGGCCGCTGGGAGGGGACCCGGAATATGAATTACCTAATGCTTTTGTATTGTGTCTTTTTTCCTCTTAAAAAATTCTTTACAGGATGGTCCAAAAGTTGGCTCTTGGCCCAACGCTACGTTCCAAATGTGTGCCAATGCTGAGGGGAGTGAATTTATTTGGACCAGTCTAGTTTAGTCGCTGTGTACTGCAGACTGACCTCGTCCAATGAAAGGGGCAAGTGCCGTGTACCGCATGCACAAATGCGTTTTTTCACATTTTCCCTCCCCCGCGGCCATTTTGAGAAAGCCCATAGAAGCCAAAAGTGGTGGCACATTAGTTTGAACAGCGGAGATAGGCATGAATACGTCGTAAAAAATTACAGTCTAAGGTCACAACCAGTGATGGGCAAGCTACTTGATTTGTGTAGTGAGCTAAGCTACAAGCTACTCTACAATAAATTCAGCTTCACTACACAGAAGCTACCACCCATACAAATGTAGCAAGCTAAGTTAAAAAATTCTGTCAAAAGTAGCTTGCTATAAAGCTATTTTTAATTAAACAAACTGCAGTTCTCGCAATTTTATATTTTCCTGCATTAACATGTTTGCTCATTTCTTATTTTTTGCACAATTCTTGAGTATTTTATCCATGCCAAATGTGACATGTAAATTTCTCCTGTGTGAAATTAATAAAGCTTATCTTCTTATTTGAGATAAACTGTCAGTCAGATAAAGGTTAAAATTTTGTAGATATTTATTGAACAATAGCCCAAAACACCAAAAACAACAAAGAGTAGGCATCTGAAAACATATTTCTTTTCGCTCATCTCGACTAGAGTGACGTACTTTTGGAGGTATGGCCACGGTACAACACTTTGAGAGTCCTTATCATGGTCCTCCTCCACCGCGGCGGCTCCTGGGCTCTGCAATGCTTTTGCTTCCCCCAGTAGCGCGCGCATGTGTGTGCGTGTGTGTGTGCGCGTACGTTCGTGTGTGTGTGTCGTTACCAAGCCCTGCGCATGCGCATCGGCATTCTGTCTTTCTATATGTTTGTTTTATGCTGCGGGAAAATGCTGTAATATATGAACATCAGAGATGTCCGTGAGAAAATAGCTTTGGCGGACACTACCGCGCTACGTGAGCATTAATATAGCTTAGCTACAGAAAAGTTACTAGGTTTTGTAAATAGTGACGTGACTGTCAAGCTACTGAAAAATGTAGTTAAGCTAGTAGCGACGCTACTTGTAGCGACGCTACGGCCCATCACTGGTCACATGATTTAATGATGAGATGTTAGCTTAACCGTTAGCTCCCATGACTCATCTTGTCTATAAACAAGCGGCTATAAAAGTCTGGAAATGACATAATGAAAAACGGCAGCATATTTTAGACTAATCTGTTAAAATAGTCAGCATAAGGCTTGTGGTTTCCAAATCAATGCACAGGTCACTTCTCCAGTCGATAATGTGTTGTTTGTGTACTGCACGGTTCCAGAGTTCTGCTGGGGCAGTCTCTGGGGCGGTCTCTGGGGCAGTCTTTGAGGCGGTGCTTTGCTCTGGTCGCTGCGGATGGTCGAGCACAGTTAGGCCTCGTGTATCAAACCTGTCAGGGCTGAGGCGAGAGCGGCTTAAGAATGAGCTCACCACGTACTCTACCTGCTGCATGTGCTCACAGTCCGCCTCCAAGACCACTCTGAGCCCGTGCGGGTTCTTGCACGGGTATTTTGCTCATGACGGTTTGGATTCAACTACAGATTGTTTTCAAAAAGTAAAAATAAAACAAACGTTATACATTCAAATGGTTAATGATCTCATTTTCCACCTTTTCAAGGCACTCAAAACACTACACATCAAGGAATCAATCACACGCTCACGCACCAGTGTGGGCAGACACTGGGGGCAAGGCGGGTAAAGTATCTTGCTCAAGGACACAGCTGCAATCACCAATGAGAGCTGGTTTCACACCTGCTAGCCCTCAGGTCAGTCGTTCTGACCAATGATGTTTATGTCAGGAGCAGGATTCAAACCAACAACCTTCAGTTAAGAGGACACACAAATACGATAACACACTTTTTTTACTGCGACTAACTGCATATTTTGAGGTACCTCCATATTCTCCTTAAAACATAGAAATAATTATTGAAATCTATGTGCACTCAGAGAACGCATACCCCAGTACATTTGCCTCCAGTGCAGGATTCAGGGTTCACACTGAAGTTTGTTCAGTCATCTCCACAAATTAAGATTTTTTTTTTGCCCTAATTGACGTACTCAGAGTTCATTTACAAGTGAACTCTGACTCCACTCTTACTTAAATCAAGTTAAATCAAATCTGAGTCAGAACCAAGAAGATCTGTACAAATCCACCCGAGGAAGCAGCTTGTCATCAAGGCAAGAGCGAGCCCTGACCACTGCCGGAGCGAAGACACCTCAATGATACAGACACCATGTCAGGGAGATCCACCACTACCACAGGTCTACAGTCACGTCAGGACTGACCAATCCCAGCCTTCAGAGGACTTCAGGGCAGGTCCTTCCAGAGCTCCACTGTCTTGTCTCTGCAGGAGGCCACTGCGGCCGACCTGGTGGCTCTGGATGAAGACAGCAACCTACTCCCGTCCACAGCAAAAGGGTGAACATCAAATCCACTGACATCCAGCTGAACGCTTCTTTATGAGACCTTTTATCCCTGCTGCTGTCAGCCTGTACAATGAGCACTGGGTCACATGTTTTAGATTATGTATGTTTTTTTTTTTCATAAATGATTTCTTGTCTCTCATGTCTAATTTCTCTGTTGTCTGTATCAGCACTTGACTTGGGATGAATAAAGTATTAATCTATCAAGTGTCTAAAGCAGGTTAGACTACTGTAACAGCCGTTCTCAGGTCTCTCCGCAGAGCTGTGAAAGAAGCTGCAGTACATTAAAAACGCTGCGGATCGAGTTCTGACTAGAACCAGGAAGTACAATCACATTTGCAATTGAAGATTGTATAACTTAGATCCACTTTAAGCAAATTAACTGCTTAACTCGTCCTTCATAGTGACTTCACAGCATCTGTTTATGGCTCTACGTGTTGCATCTAACTTCTCATGATTACAGATGTGCTTCTATCCATGACTATTGTAGAAGTCTGTTAGTCAGGTTGTTTTACCCTATATTCTATTTTATATGTTTCCTCTGCACATGAGAGATGAGGACTCGCACATGAGAGATGAGGACTCGCACATGAGAGATGAGGACTCGCACATGAGAGATGAGGACTCGCACATGAGAGATGAGGACTCGCACATGAGAGATGAGGACTCGCACATGAGAGATGAGGACTCGAACATGAGAGATGAGGACTCGCACATGAGAGATGAGGACTCGCACATGAGAGATGAGGACTCGAACATGAGAGATGAGGACTCGCACATGAGAGAGGACGACTCGCACATGAGAGATGACGACTCGCACATGAGAGATGAGGACTCGAACATGAGAGATGAGGACTCGCACATGAGAGATGAGGACTCGCACATGAGAGATGAGGTGCAACTCCAGAGGCCCAAACACCATCAATATCACTCCTGCCCTGTCCCTGACCGCTCATTACCTTCTCATCAGCGGGGGTCTGGAGAGGGGCTCTGATAGATGATCAGGGGGTCTGCTGCAGGCCCGAGGGGCAAGAGGGAAATAATACACACCTCCTACAAATACCATTGAAGAACCAAGCCAGACGTGCACCAGAGAGCATGATGCTTGTACGAGATCCAATAATTCACCAATGAGCATCTTGTTTTTCATGGCGGACTAGAGCCACTGCTCCATCAGAGACGCTGTGGGGAGGCTGCACACAGAGGCGTTGGGGGAGGACCGTTGTTTACTCCCTGATTGGCTCGTTCATAGCTTTGAGAAAACTCTAAATACAGAATGTCGTACAGACTTGGGTGCCCAAACGTATTCTTATGGTTGCCCACATATAATAATAATGCATCGGTTTTATATAGCGCTTTTTTGGACACTCAAAGACGCTTCACATGTCATTATTCATTCACTCCATACATGGTGGTGATAAACTACTACTGTAGCCACAGCTGCCCTGGGGCACACTGACAGAAGCGAGGCAACCAGTATGTGCCATCGGCCCCTCCGACCACCACCAACCATTCACACACACACCAGACTCATTCTAGGCAATGGGGGTGAAGTGTCTTGCCTAAGGACACAACGGCAGTTTAGCACTTTACAGCCGCAGCCGCCCCACTGTGGCTGATGTTCCCAGAGGTTAAGTGTCTTGCCAAGGACACAACGACAGTAGTCATATTGAACCATAGAGATTGGTTAAACAACTGGCTACAAGACTAAAACATATCTTCATCAAGTCAATTCAACACCTATCGTTGAATGAACTTTGTCAGGGTTTTAGATTCTCCAAGCCTCAAGTGGCGGAAAGTTACTTCCACATCAATGTGCTTTATTTTTCATAAAAAAACACATGTTGTTTGTTTAGACCAGGTGTCTCCAACCTTATTCACCCAGAGAGCTACTTTCCTGGATCCATAAAGGCAGAGAGCTACTTTAAGCGGCGCTGGGGGAAATAAAAAGTGGTGCTATATTGGTGTGAACGAGCCTGATATTGGGAACAGTCATTATTTATCATCACATATTTGTTACGAGTGCACAAAGTAAGTGCTTTTACAGTAATAAATAATGAGAATGAATATCACAATCTGAAATATTAAGTATATTAATTGCTTTTTTTTTCATTTCTAAATCCTTTGGCGAGCTACCTTGAAGAGGGTTTAGACAGAATAAGCCTTGCAGTAAAATTACAATCCAACTCTTGTTCCTTTACTACACCCATGATATTCTCAACAAAGACAAAAAAGAATGTCGGATAAGGTTTTTTTCTGATGAGGAAAACCTGATTGAGATACGTCAGACACACTGTATGTACACAGCTGTCTTTCTCTGTGCATTTGACACAGACTGTTCTCAAGTATGTATGTTTAGCTTTCAGGAGATTTTCTAAAGCTAACATAAAATAAAATAATTCAACTCAAATCAAAGCAAACTATAACTTCAGGCCCACAATACCAAGCCTCCTCTGTGTCTGTCCCAGCTCTGTCCTCTGCCCGGTCACGTCTCCAGCTCCTGTTATAGAAGCTAGTCGCACTAATACTATCGGAATCCGATGGTGGAGGGATCATATTGACTGCAGTGGTGTCTTTTGATCGATGCAGTGGGAAAACTCAGCACGGGAAAAGTCAAAGACGAAGCAGTTTCAGCCAATGAAAAAGATAATGACATTATTCTGACCCCACTCTCCGAAAACTAATATGCTCCATCTGAAGAATTGACTGCATAATCTAATGCTAAATAATCAATATGATGCATTATTTATGTTCATTTTGGATCCTAAACACAATCTTAGAAAAGATATCACTTTATAGGGTTCTTTCTCAGGTCTGATATCTGTGTTTGTTTCTGTCTCTTAAAATCTCTGACTTTTGGGTTTGATGCAAAGCTTAAATAAAGAGATACATGTGTAGCGTAACTCAATCCGAGAAATTCTTCTACATTATTTTAATGCGTAAGAGGACTCCCGGAATGATGAAACTATTAGAACTCCCAGAGCCGTCATTTTGACTGCCCCCATTCCAACCAATAGAATGATGAAAAATTCTACCAAAACATGTTTCATTTTAAAAGTAAGAAAAAGTAGATGGTGAATATAGCTGAGATACAGCAAAAAACAGTTTGTTGAAATGCTAGCTGCTGACTGTAAGCAGTGTGTTGCTATGGTTATTCCACTCGCTGGTGGAAAATGACTTTTCGCCATCCATCCAGCTATCCATTTAAAAAAAAGATAAAAATTATATAATATAAAAATTAGGTATACAAAAAAAGTCATTAGGTTCAGAAGAGCTGAGTAATTAGTCTTCCCAAACAAAAAGCCGTCAAATTGACTCCTCTGGGAGCTCTAATGTTAAAGTTGGGGTACCTTACTATTCAAACCACATTGAAAATATTGATGTAATAAAATCCTCGTTCCGGGCTCTCAATTTGGCTTGGATAAATATGATGTGTGCTGCCAGTGTGCTCTTACTGCGGTCCTGTATGTGCGCTGCAACATTGAAATTTCCCCACTGTGAGACGAATAAAAGCTCTCTGATCTTATCTTATCATAGTGTTTCTATTCACCGACTGCCAACATTTCAGTTTATCCGTTTGGATTTCAGTTTATCCGTTTGGATTATATCCCCATTGTTTTACTACTAGCATTTTATGTTTATGGATTTACTTGATCTGAATGAAAAATGTATTTTTGGCCATTAACAAGTTCAATGACTTGTTTCAAAACGTCAAATTCACAACATTTTCACCTTTACTCTTTCTGATGGGACTCACACAAGACCCAGCTTCAAGCCACTGTCCTTATCTCTGCAGCTGAAGAAATGCCTCTCAGAATACATATATAGGACAATATCACAGGTGGGACAGTGTAAGGAATATCAAACAGGCCGACCGTGTTCCGGATCACAGCCTGCACCTCGGAGCCACATGTTTGTACTTAATTGAAATGAGGAATGTGCAGAGTGAGGGCCTCTCCAAACCACAGCCATGCAATTCAATCAATCTCCTTTTTCTGATCGTGCGTTCGTCCTTGGCCCATCCTCCATTCTGAGCACATATTTATGAAGTAGCGCTACAGTGAGAGCAGCCGACGTTACTGACTACACAAGCACTGGACAGGGACAGTAATAAAGTGCAAGAATAGAATAATTACAGTTCAATCTCTCCTCCTAATCATCACCTTGCTCTACGAATCAAGTCGGACACACATATTCATTATGCAGACCAGCGGGGTTACTCTGAGTGCGTTTACAGAGTGTGAAAACCACAGACTGTGTACGGATGGACAGTGCTAACCGCCTAGCTCAGTGAAGCTCAATAGGGAAGTGCTCATGGACGAAGTTTTGCTCCAACTCAATCAGGGTCCTAATGACATGGCATTGAAAACTCAGTAACCCTTTGTGTCACACTCACCATTTTGGGCTTAGAACATGTTGTGTTAATATTTGTTCATATTATCTTCCATAAATCCAGGTATGAGCCATGTAAGAATTGACTGGTTGGTTGATTTATGTCGGTTGAAGGGCCTTATCCTAAAATGTTACTTTCTTGGTCTGTAAATAAAACACACTTTGGCGCTACATACCTGTGCATATGTGTTTTTATTCTACCTATCGTGCACCTTTTTGGCTAGTCCAGGCCACTGGGATGTGCGGCCTTATTTGAAAACTTCATGTAAGAATTGACCAAACAAAAGCATCTCGCTTTTGTTTGTGGGGGAAACTCCAGCTTGCCTTAGCAACCATCTGAGCAACACTTCTGCCCCTTTTTACGACGCAAAGCTAACGCCACAAAAGACATGTGGCTTCTTCCACATAAAGGCTAATTCTAGTGAGAAAACAGTGGCTCAGTTGGTAGTCATTGGCCTTTGAGCCTGAAGGTTTGGGCCCACCACGAGATACTTAACCCCACTTTGCCTGAAGCCCCCGATGAAAGAACAGCAGCCGTCCTCCTGTGGACTCGCCACCTGCAGGAGGATCTGTGAGGGGCTGGTGCTCTGGGACTTGGGTGGCATCTCTGACTGCCACCCCCCTCGACTCAGAAATGGATTATGGGGAAGAAAATTGATGGCTGTGTAGATGGCTAATTCTGACTCTGACAACGAGGTGACGTCAGCACTCTGTCAGTCCATTCCCCTGTTCCATTGTCTGTCTCACTGGAGGAGAATTCGGTTTTTTCCACCTTCTCAATAATAATCTGATAAATAAATACACTTTTAAGCGTGTGCTCACCGATTGAAGTGAAAAACCATTCGGCTGAGGGTGTTTGAAGAGCCCCCTGGATTACTTCTGCATGAACTGGCTTTGTCTTGATAAAATGCAAATATGAAATCTATCTGACCCACATAAAACTGAATCATAGAAGATGTTTTATTCTTTGAAACAAGACATTTGTTACATCACATACTGTACCTCCGCACATAGAGCAGTAAACAATCAATCCAGTTCTGAAAAAGTTTCCAAAATTGCTTATTCAGCCGAAATGCTACCATGGCAGGTCATATCTAATTTTAAAGCAAATTTTCCCAGAACATACCACATAAAATATTTAACTCCAAACAATAACACAAGAACGCAATGAGTCACTTATGAGTCTAAAGCACTCAACCTTTGGTCCAGTCCAAGAAAAAACTACCAAGAACTATCCAAACCCTTATTCAAAAATATATGTTCATTTCATTTCATTTCATTTACATCCCTTTATTTTCCATTTCTGGGTCAGGGGGGTGGCAATCAGAACTGCCACCCAATTCACACAGCACCAGTCCCACGCTGATCTTCCTGCAGGTGGTAGGTCCACGGGAAGATGGCTGCTCCTTCGACACAGATGCAGCCTTGGTCTTTCAGCGGGGACTTCAGGCACATTGGGGTTAAGTGTCTTGCCCAGGGACACAACAACAGCAGACATCAGTGGAAGCAGTTGACATGGGTCGTGGTGGGATCGAACCCACAACCATTAGGTCCAAAGACCATTGCTCTACCAACTGAGCTACTGTCGCAAAAATATATGTT